GTGATCATCGATAAGCCCCCCCAGGAAAGCCTGTCAGTTTGGTTTGGTTTGTTTTCCTGTCTCCAGCCCTTCCTCTTGTACCTGACCCGGGGTGGACGTTCACCACGACGAAAACACAGCTTTCGTTGAATCAAACCCTAACGACTTTGTGTGTTGGTCCCCAAAGCTGGGATGTCCTGCCTCCTGAGGCTCTTGAGGGGTGCTGTTCAGGACCCCCCATCCCTGGCCTCCTGCGCTTCACCACAGGGTGGAAATGGTCAAGAGTAGGAACTTACCATGAAGATTGCTTTATTGATGTAAGTGATTTAGTTTAATTATTCAGTCTTCTCCCCAGAGCCCTAAAAGAAAGGTAATTTTTTTTAAAGTTTATTTATTTATTTTGAGAGAGAGAGAGTGAGCAGACGAGAGGAAGAGAGAGAGAAAGAGAGAGAGAGAGAGAATCCTAGGCAGGCTTACTACTGTGACACAGGGCCCAATCCCATGAACCCTGAGATCAGGACCTGAGCCAAAATCAAAAGTTGGATACTCAACCGACTGAGCCCCCCAGGCACCCCAAGAAAGGTTGTTTCTTTTTTTTTCTTATTTTTTTAAATATTTATTTATTTTTGGGAGAGACAGAGAGTGAGTGGTGGAGGGTCATAGAGAGAGGGAGACATAGAATCTGAAGCAGCCTTCAGGCTCTGAGCTGTCAGCACAGAGCCCGACATGGCACTCAAAACTGTGAGATCATGACCTGAGCCCAAGTCAGATGCTTAACTGACTGAGCCACCCAGGCACCCCAAGAAAGGTCGTTTCTTAAGGGCTCTGGGACTTGGTTTTTGGTTTTGGTTTTGGTTTTGTTTTGTTTTGTTTTTGGCTCTGTGGTTTCAGATTATCTTTCACAAATAAAGAGCTGTTTTTCCTTTCATTATTTATGGATGATGGAAATAAAATGTTTTTACATGGTCTGCTTGTACAAATGTTTTTAAATATGTAAGGCATCATACAGAATTGTTCATAATCTTTACCATGAACAATTTCTGTGCTCTGTTGGGGAAGAAACTCTGTAAAGAGTTGTAAATTTTCAATAGTTGCAGAACCAAAAAGTGACTTAGATCATTAGGAGCTCCTCCCGTGTCCTGGCCTGCTACTCATTCAGCCACGGGCCCCCCTGGATCTTAGAAAAGATTCTGGATCCATCCATGTTGCAGGGGTCTTTACCAAGTGACAGCTCCTCCAAATACATTTAGTACAAATTGAATTAATTAGAAATACATCTTAAATACACTAAAAACTCATTACGGTAAGAATGGACTACTCACATTAGATTGGCCAACACGGTGTGACTGTTCATTCTACGTACATTATCTATTTTGATTCTTTTTTTTTTTAATGTTTTATTTATTTTTGAGAGAGAGAGAGAGAGAGACAGCATGAGCAGGGGAGAGTCAGAGAGAGACAGGGAGGTACAGAATCTGAAGCAGGCTCCAGGCTCTGAGCTAGCTGTCAGCACAGCCCCGACACGGGGCTCGAACCCATGAACTATGAGATCATGACCTGAGCTGAAGTTGGACACTTAACCGACTGAGCCACCCAGGCGCCCCTCTATTTTTATTCTTAAACAACAGCAACAGAGAAACTACAGTTTGTTTCTCCATGTGTGTTTCTTTGTGAGGTTGTTACCTCAGGTAATAGTGACGTTGGGGAGGGCACGATGGAAGAGGTCTCTGAATCCTAGATCCCCTTCTAAAGATCACACCCCCAACCCACCCCGCCCCCCCCAATCAAGGCTTACAGTGAAGTTGTATATTATTGCTGGGCAGTGTTACCCTTGGTAAAAGGAAAAGGGTAAAAAATACAAAGTAAAAAAGATATGTAGGGAACTACTCTTTATATCAGGTTCCAAATCCAGCAGGGGCTGTAAGATCAATGTAGCTGGCTGGGCAAGGCATCATTTTTCATTTTTAATAGGAAAAGATGAAGATGGAGTGTGGGCAAGTCTGTTTCTGAATTATGTATACGCATAATCGTGCACATGTGTAATTGGTTGAAATGTAAAAACATTTATTGGTCTGAGTCATAGTGAAAAAATGATAAATACGGCTTTAAATATCAGTAAATTGCCTTGTATGAACCAGTTAAGAGCATGCAATGTGTGTGCCATTTCTCTGTGATTTTGGAGTATCTCTGAAATATATTTTATCAGAAGAATCATAAAGTGTAGGTTAAATATAAACAGGACTTTCTCTAAAAATTGAAGCAAAGGCTTTTAATACTGACTCTTACAAGCTCTCTAAATGAAAATTGTATTTACCTTTTGAACTAGAGCTTTAGGTAAAAGTGTTTAAGTAGATGCGTATACCTGACAAAGTAAATGTCCTAAATCTGCTGATTTATGCATGGTTATTATCAAGAGAAAAAGGCAACTTAATTGAAAATTTAACAACAAAAACCAGTGTTCTATGATCCCATGTAAATTGAGGTCATTTTTCTAAGAACTTGTTATGGGAAAGTGCAAACAGCAGTTGGCCAGACCTCGGTGTACCAAATAGCACTATTCTTAAATATGTGTTAAATCATGAGTTTTTGTTGCTTTGAGCCACAATCGATTCTGTTAATAAAATGTTGTTTTATTATATAATGCCAAATTATGTGTGCACAAACTCTTAAACACAGTCGTTACTGCCAGGATATATATAATATGTATGTACGTATTTGTGGTTCTTAAGTTTGGAGGAACTGCTGGCGTAGAAGTAACAGTGTATTTTCCTTTTTATGTTTCTCAGGAACCTTATATTTAAATTCTGTGATTTGTTTCTTTCCATCTTGAAGGCATACAGCGTACTTTGTGTATTTTATTTTTTTTATATAATTTTTTTTTATTTGTTTCTAGGAGAGAGAGAGAGAGAGAGAGACAGCGTGAGCAGGGGAGGGTCAGAGAGAGAGGGAGATACAGACTCTGAAATAGGCTCCAGGCTCTGAGCTGTCAGTCAGCACAGAGCCCGACGCGGGGCTCGAACCCACGAACCGTGAGATCATGACCTACGCGAAAGTCGGATGCTTAACCGACTAAGCCACCCAGGCGCCCCGTGTATCTTATTTTTTAAAAAGTGGCCTCTGTCCTTTTGCTACTTATAAAAACCTATGTAGATTTCATCCATGCATTTGGTATTTTTCTCTCTGAAATAAAATGACTGCTGATGCAAGGTCCATGGTTTTTTGTTTGTTTGTTTGTTTTTTTAGGACCATTTCCAATTCACTTGTTATTCCATGAGAAACAACTAAAACCTGTAAATAAGAGAAATTGTAATATTTCTGTAGGTTACCTCTCCTCGTAAATCTTATGCTGGATCCAGTAATTAGCAAATACTAGGATATTGCTGTGGGGATACATTTATCAGGATGAAAATTTATTCTTGACTAATGCTGATAGTCCGTGTCTAATAGTTCAGGGTAGCTCGACTCCATTTTCTCTGCCGCTCCCACTCTGCTTTTGTTTTGTAGGCTGCGTGGATCACTGTGCAGTTAGAAGAAGTTTGATCAATAAATTGAAGGTTCTCTGAATTTCTGGCTTTCTCCACAAGGTTAATGGGAGAAGAAGCAGGTGGTTCAAAGGGCCCCTGTGGTGGGCATCTGTGTCTTTTTTTGTTTGGAAGAGGAAACATTTTGGAAGTTCATCTTCCGTGGCAAGTTGTGGTAGGAGTAGCTTTGGAGATGATTTTGGGAACTGGTGGTGGATGCCAGAAGGCACAAATGGCTGAAGTACCAGTATTTTGAAAATATGTAAATGATACTTCTTCCATGGACTAACTAAAATATCATGTGATTATTGGTACTGTATTCACTTCAGTACAAAAAGGTACCCTGGGAATTTTGTAACTTCTACCATGGTAAGGAGTATTTACACCCCCGTATTAAAGCTGGAGTTATTGTCATAATCATCAAGTAAGTACATCGTTATAAAATTTAATTTTTTTCTTTAATGTTTATTTTTGAGAGAGAGGCAATGTGTGCGTGTGGAGGAGGGGCAGAGAGAGAGACAGAAAGAGGGAGAGAAAAATCCCAAGCAAGCTTGGGAACTGCCAGCACCAAACTGGACACAGGGCTCGACCTCATGAACTGTGAGACCATGATGTGAGCCCAAGTCTGACACTTAACTGAGCCACCCAAGCGCCCCTACATTAATTGTTAACCAACGGAGGACATATGCTTTTTTACCCACTTGCGCTCAGAGCCTTAGATCTCAGAACTACAGGCTCTGGGCCCACGCTCGCCTCCCTCTCCTGTCTGCTCCGGGGCAGCCCTCCCAAGCGACTCGTCAGTTACTGCTTGTGGGTTACACCTGATCTTTCGGAACTGGCTCCTGTGTAGCAGTTCTGGGGTCATTGCTTTGATAGAGTGGCTCTCTGATGCAGTCAGCTCCCCGCACACTTCATGAATAACAGTCCTGGTACCCAGGGTCCCGCATGCTTCGGGAAAGGTTGTCCTGGTACCAAGGCTTGGCGAGAGGGAAGGGTATTCCGCTACTCTCCTGCCCCTCCTTTCATTCATTACCCGGTTCTTCCTCTCGTTCTCCCATGTTTGGCATAGGTTTTAGGCCATCCGTGAACTTTGTTTAGACTTGTTTCTAAGCTAGCAGGCATTTGTTCTCTGTCTCTAATAAAATCGCTGTTGGGCATGTATGTGTCTTTATAAGGAAAGCTTTATTTTTAGGTATTTATTACGCACCTAAATGTTTATTAAGTATCATTCAGTATTTAAAATGCACCAATGAATTGCATTATGAAAACGTTAATTGATTGGAGCTGGTCCTTGTGACAAAGACGTGATTGAAATTATGTATTCCAGTTTTAAAATAAGGGAATATATCATTGTTTTAACAGTTTGCACATATTTATGAATTCATTCTGTAAATATTTATTACTATGTATGAGGCTCCTTGTGTAAGTAGTGTGTTTGTCTTACTACATTCTTATTTGTATATGATGAATTGATTTGTAAAATCTCTTTGTTTTTCTTAGATAAAATTGAAGAAGCACAAAAAGAACTTAATGGGGCAGAAGTGTCAAAAAAAGGTAAATTAAAATCAACCCAATGTATACTGGATTCTTCTCAGAGATTGCTATATAGATACCTAGAATTGCAGCCTCACTAAATCCATCAGTATAAATATATCACAAAATTAGAAATCACCTTAGATTGATGGATACCCAAAAGTATATGAACTTTGCTTCCTGAAATGCTTTAGCTACATAGCATATTCTGTAACTGTTTCCTAGAAATTAAGATATTGCTGGTAGGGTTATGAGAGATCGTTGTAGCTCTTTTTGAAGTCCTATTTATGAGACTGTCCCATAGCAATAAAAGTACCAATATAATGAATATCGATGGCTGTGTTTCAACATATCTGTGCCTATCTATGTGTGTTCTTGTGATGCAGTTTTTTTTTTTTTTTTGGTAATGACAGAAGCCTAAGCTAGATAAAATAATATGAATGCTAGTCAGGGGGAAGAATGGTTGAATCAATTGTAATACATTGATATTTGGGGGGATATTATGAACCTTTTCAAGAAATGTTAATTTTTTCAATTGATGGTGGTGCTTTATTGCTGAATGAGGAAAATGAAATTGCACTGTAGCCTGTAAAATATCTCAGTTTGTAAGTTCAATCAGATGACAAACACATACACGCATACAAATTTATACACATTTCTGTGCAGATGATTATACAGGATTGGACAAAGTTTGCAAGGACTATATACAAATATGTGTACAAAGGTAGAAGAAGGTGCTGAGGAAGCTTAGCTTTTCTTTCTGTAGCTTTATGGTTTTTATTAGCTATAATGGTTGTAATTTTATATAAAAAATTTAAAGGCATAAATTGGTTTTCATCGTAGAAAACCGACTGATCACTTTTCCAGATAATATGAAAAATACATTTAATATAAAACCGCCTGTGGAGAGGGGAAGACAATGAGGTGGATAGTCTTCCAACACTGTGTGCTGAGTAAAACTGATTAAAAGGATATAATTAACGTTCCCTTTAAAACATTTATATTTTGTGACTTATTATTTCTTTGTCCTTATTATATCTTCTAATTATACTGGGCTATTTTTTGTTTTGTTTTAATGTTTTTTAATTTCTGAGAGAGGGATAGAGACAGAACATGAGCAGGAGAGGGGCAGAGAGAGAGGGAGACACAGAATCTGAAGCAGGCTCCAGGCTCTGAGCTGTCAGCACAGAGCCCGACGTGGGGCTTGAACCCACGAACTGTGAGATCATGACCTGAGCCGAAGTCAGAACGCTCAACTGACTGAGCCACCCAGGCGCCCCTATAGTGGACTATTTTGACAGTAATTTAGCCATATATGATTCCAATGGAAAGTCTTTTTTTTTTTTTTTTATTTAGTCTATTTAGGTTCCTGGGTAAGTATCTTGAGTAGAAATAATTCTGGCTATCCAGGTTTTCCATCCCTTGGACCAACCTGTGAACCTCCAAGATGGTTTGGGGTTGGTCTGAATAGTTATGCTGTGATGTGCTGCAGCCATGAAGTGTCTCTCCATTTTCTTCTTCCCCCACCCCCTTCTTTCATGCAGTCTGGAAGGTGTATAACAAACAGGCTCCTTCAATGACATTCTTGCAGAGAAGCCTAGAAAGAACAGAGAAATCACTATAGCTGTGCAGTCCTTTCGATGGTAGACTAAAGATCCCTTCCCCCATTGCTGTAGACATAAAGCACCTAAGACATGCAGGCCGCGGGTGCTGTCTCCATCTAGTAATGGTGCAGAGCTGCTGCAAGGAGAAAAAGAAATGTGTGCTTGTTTTCCATTTCCTTCCTTCTTACTCCAGTGGCAAAGAATGTTAAGAACAGTGAACTAGATGCCTGTAGGAAGGAGGAAGCAGAACAAAGGTTCTAGAAAAAGAAATTGGATAACGAGGTTCAGAATAATCTTGTGGGCTACAGTTGGCAGGCTACACTTATTTAAGACCTGGGATGAATACCAAGCGAGCATTGTTCTGTGCAGTTCACCACCTAGAATTGCTACTTGGCTTTTAGTTTTACATACACATTCGGGGCAAATTAAAAATAAAATAGTTTTTCTCTCAAATATAATTAGGGAATAATATCAGTTTGTCTTTAACAATACGAGATAAAATCTTTGAGTAGCAAAAGGATTGAGATTTCTCAACTCTTTGCTTGCTGAGCTGCACTTCTTCCTTCGAATAATATGCTGTAAAAATGTGTTACTTTTATTAGGATGAGTCATCTAGGGCAGATCACCTTTTTGTTATTTTTTTCAGCAGACTTGGTTTCTCTCGGAAAGTTTGACTTGTTTCTTCTACATCTGGCTATTTTTCTACAATGCTTATAGTTCTAAGGCTTTTTCTCCATTGAAGATACTACAGTGCTTTATTGTTCTTTCTCCTCCTTTCCTTCGTCTTCTTCTTTTTTTTTAATCATTAGGACAAGTAACTAATTTGAATCTAGCATTCATGGCAAGCCCTTAAAAAACCCACAAGAAAAGCCCACCTTGCTCTTTGTTAGGTCTTTATTGTTTTCTAACATTTTAAGAAAAGATTAATTTGTTTAGTGTAATATGGTGGCAAAGAAAGTGACTTTGCCCATTATGCACCAATAAAATAAAGAAGGGCACTAACTTATGTTAATGTGTTTCTTTTATTCTTTGTAGAGAGAAAGAATAAAGGAATGAAACTTAGATGACTTTGATTTATTTTAATTATAATCAGTTTGGGGATAAATATAACATGTCACATTCACAAAATTCTCCATAATGTCATTATAGTCTTCCTTACAGTGCTCTTTATTTGTTCTTAACACCCATCATACTTGACACTATTCCTAAAATTATTGCATGGGATTTAAATAAAATAGTGAATGTCACAGATGTGGGAATAGAATATGTATAAAATAAACTAGGAAACTAGGAAGAAATAAATCAGTTTATCAGGAGAGCTTTCTTTCATAGTCTATCTTTTGTATAGGTTTTAATTTTAATACTTAGTTTTAAATTTTTACCATATAACATTTGACATATCTAAGTTAATGTATATAAGGTATCATAAATTTATATTTTTTAATGTTTATTTTTGAGAGAGAGTGAAAGCATGGGAGGGGGAGGGGCAGATGGAGAGGGAGACACAGAATCCACAGCAGGTTCCAGGCTCCGAGCTGTCCGCACAGAGCCCGACACGGGGCTCGAACCCATGAACCATGAGATCATGACCTGAGCCGAAGTCGGACACTTAACCAACTGAGCCACCCAGGCGCCCCTGTATGTAATGTGTTATAAAGCACAAAAATAACACAGTGAGCCTTCATTCCACTACCCAGTGGAAGAACTGGAGCATTATCAATACTATTGCATCAACCTGCGTGCCAGTCAGTATTTCACCCCTCTGCTCTGTAAGGTGTTTCCCGTCCTCCACTTTGTGTTCATCATGTTGTTAATGCTTCATAAAAATAATCAGGTATTCTCAAACAGTACATTTTTTAGTTTTGCCTGAGTTTAAGCTTTAAAAATAAAATTACGTTACCTAATTTTAATAGCTTTTTCACTCAACATTGTTTCTCCAATGTATGCACATTGTTGAAAGTAGCTATTTCTTTTCATTGCTGTAATAATATTTTATTACGTGAAACACTGGATACCTCTTTTCTCCTTGATGGATTTGAGTTCTTGCCCCCTTTTGCCGTCACAAACAGTGCAGCTCCAAATATTCTCATACCTGAGTGCACACGTGTGAGTTTTCCAGGCCATACATGGGGAGCGTAGATGTGCAGCTTCACAAGATGATGCTAAATGGTTTTCCAAAGTTTTTTGGAAATTTTACATTTCCTCCATCAGTGTCTAAGAATTCCTTTTGTGCTCTGCAGTACTTGATATTGTCACTGTTTTTATTGTTTCTAGTTGGATAGGTAAAGAATCCTATTTTGTTCTGCTCTGGATTTGTTTTTTTCTCCAATTAGTAATAAGGTGAAATAACGTCTTCATTTGTATTCCACTTTTTTGAAATGGTTACTAGTATCTTTTACGTATCGTAAAAATCTTTGTTTTTTCTTAATGTTTTTTGGATAAGAGCCCTTTGTTCCTGTTACATGCTTTAGTTCGGGGCTTAATTTTTTACTTTCTTTAAAGTACCTTTTGGTAAACTGAAGTTCTTGGTTTTAATATTATCAAACTACTAATACTAAGCTTTTTCTTTTATGGTTAGTATGTTTTTGTTGTGGGGATTTTTAAATGTATTTGCTTGCCTTAAATCCTTCCCTATCTTTTTCCTCTGTTCAAAAACAACAACAACAACAACAACAACAACAAAAACCCTTTCACATTAAGATAAAAAATACATCTGGAGTTTATTTTTTTAAAAAAATAAAGTGTGAGTTAGGATTCTACTTTTTGGGTTTTTTTTTTTTTTACCCCAAATGGATAACTGTTTGTCCCAGAGCATTTATTGAGGTGATTCTTTACTCTTTTACTTTACTCTCTGTTTCATGTTAATTTTCCTCACAGGTATGGGTTTGTTTCTTGGCTCTCTGCTCTGTTCTGTTCATCTGTGAGTTAATATTACAGTATGTTAATTACTATCACTTTATGTTCAATATACAGCAGGGAACATTCCTGAAGTGTTCTATTTGTAGTTATTTTGCTCATCCATTTAAATTTTAGAATCAGCTTTTAAAATATCTTGTTGGGACTTGGTTTGGGTTTGCATTGAATTTGGGGCAAACTGTTGTCACAATTTTCAGGCTTCCTATCTATAAAAATAGTATATTTTTGATATATGTGTTTTCTTTGATGTCTTATAATTTCTTTCATATGGACCTTATACTTGTTTTATTGAATTTATTTCTTGGAACTTAATTTTTTTTACTGATTACATTGATTGTGTGTGTATATATGTGAAATTGTTTTTTAGTTCTTGTTGGCAAATAGAAATGCAATCTATTTTTGTATATTCATCTTGTATCCAGCCAGTTGGCTGAATCATTCATTCTGAAAATTTGTTTGCAGATGCTGTAGATATTCTTGTAAACTGTCGTATCAGCTAGA